GCCCCTAACCTCGGGCTCTGAAATCCATAAACGAATACTTGCAGAACAGGGCGTTACACGTTTAGAGTAAATTACACGAATAGTCCCTATGATTTGGGGTAATTTGCACGTTTGGTCCCTAACTTATTTTTTAACTCGGAAAATCCCCATTGTTTGTTTTTTTACGCACTTGGTCCCTACTATTTGTTTTTGTTACGCGTTTGGTCCATGTCTTACCTAAAAATATTATTATTTAAATAGGGAAAAATGGTAGGGTATGTAAGGTAAGATGATGAGAGTGGGGTTGTGGGTGTGTTTATTTAAATAAATTAAAAAATCAATGGCAAAATAGTTATTTTAGGTAAGACAAGGACCAAGCGCGTAACAAAAACAAACAGTAGGGACCTTCTGAGTTAAAAAAATAAGTTAGGGACCAAACGCACAAATTACCCTAAACCATAGGGACTATTCGTGTAATTTAATCTTAGATTTATTGTAATTATTACATTAAAGTATTATGTGAAATTTATTAAAATAGAAAAAACCCATAAAATGACATGTGGAAAAGAAATTAATTAAAAATAACCACAAAATGACATTTGGCAAATTGAATCAGAGTGTGACATGTGGCAAAAAAAAACTTTCATTTATTAGAGTAGATTATGTAGAATTTAATAAAATAAAATAAAAAAACATAAAATGACAAGTGGAAAAAAAATCAAAAAATCTTAGAAATTGACATGTGTCAAATGCAATGAACGTGTGACATGTGGCAAAAGATCTTTATTTATTATGGGGATTTTCTAATATGTGCCCTAAGGGCACATATAAGAAGTATTAATTATGAAAAATATTACCATAATTAAATTCAAAATACATTTATTATGGTAATTATTAATGCATTTCACATTTAATTATCGTAATATTCCTTATAATTAATGTATTTTACATTTAATTATAGTAATATTTGTCATTAATTAATGCTTCTTATATGTGCCCTTAGGGCACATATTAGAAAATCCCTTTATTATGTTAGATTATGTTATAATCCTTAGGCCATAAATTTTGATATCTCACATTTAAAAGAAGAAATCAATGCTTACCTAATTTTAACAGTCAACCATAATCATATCTGTAATTTAAATGTGTACACACACTAGCCATAAATACCAAAAAAAAATTATAAGTTGATATTGTCTATATAAGTTCAATGAAATGGAAACTTAAAATCTAAAAACAATCTTGTCACATTCAACCATCGATTATTTGAATCAATTCACCACAAACTAAGAATGAAACGAACATTCGACCTTGTGGTCCTCTTGTTTTTTATTTCAGGTAACCATGCACTCTTACGTATATAAGAAATCCTTTTATTTGCATGTTGTTAACTGATGATTGATTAAAACAAAATCTTCCATGTTTTGCGGATTCTGTTAACTAATGTTTCTTATTGAACTTTTGTTACAGGTGTAATAAACTACACTGCTTTTTCACAAGATACGTATCCACCTTGTCATAGTATCAAAGAATGCTTTTCATATTGTGTTCCCAGACTTGGTATTCCTCTCTGCATTCACCACCATTGTTTTTGCCTAAGGAATCACGAAGAGAAAGCCCCACCCACATCTTCGCAAATTGTTAAACCTTTTAAGACGAATGATGTTAATGTTCAACAAGAGAAAAACAATCCTTAATAATTATTAATATGTATCAACTCTATAGAGTTGTATTATTTGGATCTTGTTTTATCTATATATGGATAAATAAACTAATGTTATAATATCATCTATGTTGGTTAAGAATCTTTTTATTTGTGTGAGCTCTATTTGCAATGATATTCTTTTGAGCACTAGATGTAGATCATATATTGAAAAATATAAAATAGGTATAAAAATACCATATAAATATTTATATACATATATTGTCATTGTATGATTATACACATTAAAATTTTATTTGATTATGTAGGTTCTGCAATGATTTACATTAGGGTAAAGTAAAAAATCATGTTCATTAAAAAGAGTATAAAATCCATAGCTCAATCTCATATGCTAATTATCTTTGCTAAAAAGTGCAAATTAATAACAGAAAATGCCTAAAAAAATAAAGATATCTTTTGTTTTGTATGTATTTAGTCACTAGTTTTTTATGTCTATATTTTCTCATTAAACTTGTTATCTTGTATATAATTAATCCTTATGATCGGTTGGTGTGGATTTAGTAGTTGGTTTCCTGCGTTCTTTGTAACTCTGGTGAGACTTTAGTCATATTCTTAGGTCAAAACATTAACAACACCCTAATAAACACGTATAAACACCAAGAACACATGCATAAACACAAAAACACTTGGATTCGTGTGTTTTTTCCTCTAGATACGATTTTGTTCCAGAATCGTGTTTTTTTTTCTCATCAATCTCTTGAACTCGAAAATCATGTTCATCCCTTGATCCCCGTCGACCCAAAAATTCTTCAACCCAGAAATCCTTCAACCACTTCAACCCAGAAAAAGAATTTTAGAGTCAAGATAAAACTATAAATCAAGTTTTGAAGAAACATCCATGGCAGTTTTAAAATCTATTTCACTCTGAAATCCATTTTCCAAAAGGTTTTTGAAGAAACCCTAAATCAAGCTCATCGTTTTTTTTTTTTTTTGAAGAAACTCAGATCTAGAACACACTCCGCTTTTAAGAACACGATTTGGAATGCACTCTGTTTTTAGGGTCGTGCCAGTGGGTGGGGCAGCATGAGCGATGACCCAAGGCCTCTAAATTTCTAGGGGTCCCACTTTTATATATATATATAAAAAAAACTAATATATCATGTATAGAAGAGTAGAAAAATGAAAGAAAACATAGCCAAAACAAAATCAGCAATGAAGGCTTACACCTTGTTTCCGAATTTAACTTAACGAGGAAAAAGAAAGGAAATTGATGGAAGTTAGAAGAAAGTAAATAAATTAGTGTTTGTGAGTTTCATTAAAGGAATGAAGTGGAAGAAAGTGGAAGGAAATGGTAGGATCATTTTCTCTCCTAACTTTCATTCATATTTGGAAGAATTTGAAGATAAAGGAACAAAATTTTTAATTTTCCTTTCACTTTGCTCCAACTCGGAAAATACAATTTTCTTTTCCTTTCCTTTATCTTCTTTAACCTCCTTACTTTCTTTCCCCCTTTTTTTTCTTTCTTTGCTAAAACTCGAGAACTAGTCGTTAGGGATGTACAATTCTTCTGGAATAATCATCATATTGAGCTTCTTACCACTATCGATAAATACTATGAATCGATTCTGATTTTATCAACGTTAAAAAGTGGATTCATAATAAATCGATTTTAGTTTTTTTACAAAGCCTTTTGATTTCCAATTTCTATTTCAATTTTATGTTTTCTGATTTCAATCTTTCTTAATACATCGATTATGATAATTTGATTTCATGCATCCTTCATAAAAATCGATCTTCTATTCGTGTTAATCTGATTTCAGGCAGCCTCATTGATTTTGATTTCTGATTTCTAACTCGTGTTAATGTGATTTCTAATTCGTGTTAATCTAATTTATGATTAATGTAAGCTATAAAATTTTTTTATTGTTTTTCATTTCTTTCATGTTATTTTTCTGATAAAAAATTTATTTATGTATTTTTTTATGATTTTTTTAGATAACTTGAAACTTTAACATCACAAGTTTTGAAATCCTTGTTGTTGGGCTTAGAAAATGATTCAAAAGGCATTATCTTTGTTGTTGGAAAATGATTCTGAAAACGATTATATGGTATTGAGGAAAGAAAAAAAAACAAACAACTAATATTAGTACAAAACGAGTTAAGGAGAAATTTATGGCAATGGTCCATTTAGAAAAACAAAAAAGTCAACATCCTTTATAATTTTTATTTACTGTAAGGGCCTCGTTTTTGTTTTTATTTTTATTTTTCTTAGGGCCTCAAATTGGCTTGGAACAGCATTGTCCGCTTTCAGGTACGGAGAAGATGGTGAGGAACAAAATCGGCTTTTAGGTACGGAGAAGATGGTGAGGAAGTGAAGCTTTTGCAGTTTAGAGAGAGAAAGAGAGAATGATGGTTGGTTGATTAATTTGTTTCAGAAAGTGGAGAAAATAAAATAAAGGGACTAGAGAGTACCAAAAAGATCAATCGTCGGAAAAAACATTGTTTGTTGGAGAAGATGACCAAATATTCGCGGAGAAGATGATCGAAGTCTCGTCGGAGCTACAAAGATGCTAGAAATCGGCAACACCCACATCAATCGGTCATAATGATTGATTGTGTACAAGATAATAACTTTAATGGGCAGATGTGGACAAAAAACTAATTCAGTTACTAAATGTATACAAAACGAAAAATATCTTACTGAATTGACATTCCAATTTTTTTCTAACCATGTAGTCATAATGATTGTCATTTCTTATGGATAAGAACGAGGAGTATCCATCTTTTTCATCTCTTCCAATTACCATGTAGCATCACTCTCACATTAGATTTTTTTTCTCTCATGTTTTTCTTTCACCCTTCTTGTAGCCACAATACATGGAAACTTAATTTTCTTATCCTTCCCAACTCACTCAATTTTTAATTATTCTTTATTTTACAAATTAAACCTTTACTAATTTAAAACAAAAAATATTAAAATAACATTTAATTTGTAAAACGCACTGCTACAAAACGTAAATTAAATCCTAAAACGACAATTTAAATGATAAAATGACAACTAAAATCCTAAAATGATAAAATAACATATTCAATTATTCAGCTAACGAGTTTGGGTTACTCGAGATTAAATAGCATGTGGAAGCAACCCGAACTTGTTAGCTGAGTAGTTGATAGCATCAGTAGTTTAGCTAAATGTGGTAAGGTGTTTTGCATGAAAACATTAAATACTCCACAAAAGTAGGGAGATCTATTGTGTGCATAAAATAATCGGGTGACCTTTTTTACTTTGGACAATACCGATTGTATTGTGCAAATTCACTATTGATTCAACAGAATTTGGAACAACCAAGTAAGTTGTACACATACAGAAACAAAAACAAAAAACAAAATCTAATAATGCTGTTGCAACAAAATCTATTGTTCCTTTTCCCCTCTCTATAATATCATATCCACAATAATACTTCCTGCATCTACAATGGTGTAAAGCTCCCTTCATCTCGATTATCAGCCACACCACCAGAAACCACCATAGACGACGATGATGATGATGATGAAACCGCCTTCCCTTTGCTATCAGAAGCAGCCACCGTCCAGCTGCCGCCACCGCCGCCGCTGCTGCTGGTGGATTCTGTGACTGGGCTTTTCTCAGATGCAGATGCTGGCTTCTGTAAGCGCTCAAGCTGATTTTGCAACACCTGTTAAGCAAACATATCATGTCACTAACAAAATTGAAGGGAATACTAGTCTAGGAGATATTGGATTCCCATACCTCAATCTGATGCTGAATTATTTTTTTCTGGGCCTCAAGTTGAGACACGGACACCTGCAGCTCATGGTTAGGACTCCCACCAGGGGCATGAACCGGCATGAAACCCGAATGTGGGAACTGAAAAGATGGCAAGTTTCCAACTGAATTGTCATTTTCACCAATATTGTTTCCAGGTGTGGAATTGTTCGGAAGCACACCATATCCAGATGACCTGCAACCATGATGTTTAATTTCCAAGCGCCACAAATTCCTTGGAAGCATGATATCAAGGGTAGTTTAGTAATTTCAAAAGTGTGAAGTACGTATATACCATGGTAAAGAGCTTGGAGAAGGGTAAACAAAAGATTTTTGATATATTGAGGCGGCTGCTGCTGCTGCTTGGACTCTCTTTTGATGCCTGCTGATATTCCCACTTTCTGCACCATCACCAGTTCGTTCTTGAGATGATGTAGTAGCTGAGTTCGCTCCTGAACACATATTATAATTTATAAATATATTAAATTACAAAATTTAAATAATAAAACAAAGAAACCAACAAACTACAATGTTACTAAGGGGTTGTTACTTTTTGACTTAATGGGCTTAATGGATTAAGCCAAAAAACCTGGCTTAAACTTAAAGTATTAAGAAACCTTAACTTTTCTCACTTATTTGCCCTTCTTTTTTTCTCCTAACTCCTCTCACCTTAAAAGTGAAAATAAACAGACTCTGTGTTTACAGCACTTTATGCAGACAGAAATCATTACCCATTCATTCATCCACTTTAACCATACAGACTTGATGGAGAAAAAGGAAAAGCAACCCCAAAAGGATTTGGAAAGGGTATTTCGGTCATTTACACAAATGATGGTGGATTTTTAAATGGAAATTCTGACCTTGACGATGAGCTCCAGGTCGAGACCTTGTTGTGGTTGTCCCACTCTCATTTGGTATAACAAGTGCTCTGCAAATGGGACATGTATGTTGTCTCTCCAACCAAGACCTGAGGCAGTGTACATGGAAAAGATGCCCACAGACTAGTCTTTTTGCTGTAGTCATCTCCTCTCTACAGATAATGCAGGTTGCATCACTTCTGTATATGACAAAATCATAAAATATACAAGATATGAGACAACTATACCACTGATTTACATGAGTAATATAAAGCTCTATCAATTGTAGAAAACTAACGCGTTCAACTCTTCAGGTGTTGCATCTGGAAACCGATCATTCATATTTGATGTGATCTTTCGATAACGAATGTAATCAGCAATTCTCAGTTTGAAGTTTCTGAATGTCTCGTATAGCTCCCGGATCAAGTGCAGTGGCACACCATAGTTACTGTGGAAACCAAAGTGTGAATAACATAGCCAGTTTGACTTTCCAAATATTTCACCAAAGGTAAAATACTTACACAAAGATTACAAGGAAAAAGCCGAGATACAGAGATAAGTGTAGCAAGTCGCGAATAAGCTCCAAATAGAATGTGTACACAGCTTTTTTCTCCCATTGTCCTTCCATAAGCATGTCACTCACATAGAAAACGTATTTCACAAATGTAGATATTGTTGTTGTAGCCAATATCATGTACCTGAAATTGAGAAACATCACTAACGAACCCAGAATATTTTAAAAGAGGAGATGTTGTAAACATTAAATAACTTACTCGAATGAAAAGAAAAGAGAAACTGAAGCTTGTCGGGTTTGTATCAAATACTTCACTGAGTTATATAGAAAAAGAGAGTCTACAAGGAGAAGGAATCCCATGAAAGAAACAATCCGGATGTGAGACAACATGGGAACAGTTGGAGTTGTTTCAATGTATTCAACTCTCTTTTGAGCCAACCAATGCAAAGACTTGATAAGTAAAAGAGCAGTAACCATGGCAAGAAACATAACAGAGAAGTCCTGGCGGAATATAGTGATGGCAAAAAGGATTTCCATAACTTCTCTCCATGATTGCTCATTCAGCCTCTCAATCTCTGCTTCTCGAAGAGAACCAAGAAAGATTCGTTTTGTTAGCTGCCACATAATGCACATGATCACCAAACCCATGTTGAGAAGAAGCACTAAACAGACTTTGGAGGTAGAAAGATAGACTGTTGCTGGATAGAACTGTCCTCGACTACTAAAGGCATGATAGATGACAGCCAGTGTGGCAATCACACTGAGTCCAGCATAAGTCTGCAGCTTCATCATTTTGCTGTAAGCACTGTTACATTACAAAGTAATCAATTAGCTTCTCGGAAAAGAAAGTCGACCATATACTCTTAACCTACACCCATGATTCAACTAGAGATCTGTTTCCACTTATCCAGTTTCTATATTATTCATTGATTCTCACTTAAATTTGCAATAATATTACATGACGTCCAAACTGCAGATTGCATTATCTGTTCTTGGAGACCCATGAAACCACAAAAGAGTGGGTCGGACATTAATATCTGTCAACTGGACGCCCACTGACGGATGCTTGTAACTCACCGAGCAATGACACAGCGTAGGATTTGAAGCTAGGACTTGGTTATCATAATACCAGCTTGCCACAGCATTAGACCATAGGTGAACAAAAATCCACAATCTTATATAAACGTTTGATAAATGATCTAAGAAGCAGAATAAGAAACTATAAAAGCTGCCTAAGATTCTTTGGAAAATGCGTTTAGATCATTACAAGATTTAAAAAAAAAAAAAAAGACACGCCAAAGGCAATGGAAATGAAGGAAAGTGTAGTTAAACTAGCTAACACTATTAAAGGTTTCTTTCAGAGACATCTCTGGCATATTTCACGGAAATCACATTTGATGTAACAGACTAAAAACAGAAAATGAGAAAACACTAGGAAGACAAACAAAAAATAAGTTAAACCCTAAAAATCACAACAAATCGACAGCTAACGATTACGAAAATAATCACGCGTAACAAGAATCGGAAACGTACGATCATAATAAACCCTAAAATTCCATTAAAAACCTCGAAGTTGGAAAGGATCGCGTTGTACCTGTTAAAAAACTCCCGATTATTTGACTTCTGCCAATTGATTTTGTATGATAGGAGTAAAATTTCCTAAACCATACGTTTAATCCTACCCTAAATCATTCGTATTCAAGATATCAACGACGAGATGGAGCGAATTGGGGTTTGAATATCTGGAAAAAGGTGGGGCGAAAGTTCAAGAACCCAGAGATGAAGATCGGAGAAACACAGGACGAAATTAGATAAATTAAACGACAAAATGGGTCTCGTTCTCGTCACCGCTGCAGATCCCTACCAATTACTTCTTCCCACGTGTAACATGCCGACTAGGCTGCTCTTGCGTATGTGGCAACGAGATTTGTCATCCATCTTGAAATCAAGTTTGATTCAAGTGACAGTCATTAAAATGAAACTATTTCAATTTAGAAAATAACTTATTAAGTTCCAAAATAAATTATATATTTGTAAATTATATAATGATTATTAAGTTGAAATATATATATATATATATATATATATATATATATATATATATATATATATATATATATAAAAGAACTTTTTTTAACAGCTAAATGATTTATTAAAAAGTTAGCATAAAGCTAACACATTATGCTAACGATTGATCTTTTTATTTCTATTGACAATCTAATCGTAATAAACATTACTATCCGATAAAATGACATCATCAATAGTTTTTCTAATATCTTCTATTGTGAAACATAAATGGCTCCTAAAATCCATCTCCATTTATCATTAGAAGTGGAGAACTTAAAATCACCGGTTAATAAATATTTTCATTGTTCATTAGACGCATTCAAGACTATCTCCAGTTACTACCAAACCTTCTCTGATTAATAAAATAATCTTTATTTGTATCTAAAGGAGAAAAATGGGAAATCGCATCATTAATGTATTATCACCAATCCATTAATCCTTCCAAAATAAAGTATTATTACCATTTCAAATTATCCTTTACACTTCGTCCCTCGGAATAATTTCCTTATCATGAAGTTGATTAATAGTACCTACAATTTCAGACCAAACTCTGTCTTTCAGAACCTGATTGTCATTCAAAACCTCCAACCCTGCGGTAGGACCATGAAGTAGCCTTAAAACTCTACACCACAATTCATAAGGGGTGTTTAAAAAACGTCACTTTTATTTGAAAAGAAGAGTGTTACTAAACGCTACACGAGAATTGGTTTCCATAATCCACACCGCCTTTTACTTTACTTGCCATAATAAGATCACATTTTACCTAATGAAGCTTTCTTTCACAATCTTCACCACCCCATAAAGAACCCGATCTCAAATTCTACATGGATTTATTAATAACTCCATGCATTTGAAATAGAGACATGTAATAAATCCATATGGACCCTAACATTGATTTGAGTAACATCGATCTGGCGCCCCATAGAGAAAAGTCTTATATTCCAAGACAAAAGTTTTTCTGAACATATCAATAATTGGTTGTTACCCCGTAAACGTGACATAACAGCGCCCATTGGGAGACTAAGATATGAGAAAGGGAGCTTCGTCACTTTGCAACTTGTAAAAGAAGCAAATTGTTCCACCAAATAACTTATGGCTTCCACACCAAATATGTTAGACTTATGTAAGTTGACCTGCAAGGCCGAGGTCATGAAAAAGCAATGTAACATGGCAATATATATATATATATATATATATATATATATATATATATATAATATTAAAGGCCAAATTATTCTAATGATATTCATTTGAAACCTATAAAACTTTTTATCTTTTCATTTGATTAGTAAATTAAACCTCATTATTATTTTAATTTTAATATTAATTATTCACATTTCAACATAATATGTAATTAAAGTATTTAAATTGGTTCATTTGTGTGAAATAAATATTTTATAAAAGTCATTTTATCCTTAACCATCATCATTTAAAACTCTTATGACCTTTCGACTTATAAAATAATTACTACACCTTAATTATTTTTCATTATTAGTACTTAATTTGTTAATTAGAATATGTTGGTTGTATAAGATCATTATTTCATATTTGGTTACTCACACTTGCTTCTATTCTCTCTAAATAAATAGATCAAAAGGGTTAGTAAATCATATTGAGATTAAGAGATTGGGTGATGTCAAAATGGATATTGTGACATCCCCTATTTTTTAGAACTAATTAAAACTGTTTCTTTATGCTTTATAAATTAAGGTACGAAAATTCACAGTTAATTAAAACATTTTTAAGATAACAAAAGTTATTTTATAAAAACCTTGAGGATGTCATTCGTTCATATCCGAACATACGTTACAGCGTAAAATGAGTGGGTCGGGTTTGGGAAAACCTTGTGAGATACATAGGGGTTTTGACCCCATAATAATTTGTTGATATTAAATAATATCATTTTGGCAAAACATTGTTATCAAATAATATATATATATATATATATATATATATATATATATATATAATCTGACCTAATACCAACTACCCAACCCAACCGATCCTCACAGATCATAAAGCAACGATTATCTGGAGGAATCACCCAACTTGATGAATCGTTTGAACAAATGTTTGACTACATAGCTATGGGTGTCCTTGGCCAATGTAGGGCATATAAGGCAACCAATGTTCTAAGATTTGATAAATATTGTATCCCATTTTATATACGTCCATGGGTTATAAGTCAATGCTAGCAACGTAATTCACTAGATTGCCTAGAATAGTCAAGTGTTGTCATCTACTCTGGTCGATGACCCAGACATACTTGCCAGTTGTTTGATCTGGACCCACCATTTCTGGTCATCCAAGAAAGAGGAGAAATACTTCGCTCTAATCTCACACACCCTACCCCAGGCATGATACTTAATCGATATCCAGCCTAATCTCAACTAAGTAGTCTTTATAATTCTTATTCTTAACCTAGGGTAAGACTTATATTTAAATGAAATCGATTCCAATACGGTTTCTAATTCAATAGTATTATCGTAATTATACAAATAACATATAGCATAGATAATACAGGCAACCATTTAATGTCTCATATAAATAATACTTTTATTTTAGATTATGATCTTGATAGAAACTATGCACTCGCCACATAAAAGTGTCTGGTGATTGGTGAATCGAGCATAGCTTTGCCTTACACCTTTTCCAAAAGACCTAGATGTACATAACGCTAAGTCTTAGTCTAATTCCATACTTCATGGAACTATTATCCTAAGGATTTAGACGCCTCAATAATCTTGAAGTCTACTTCAAGATCTAAATAAAGAATAACCAGGTAGGATCATATCGAATGTATGGTCCATTTGGTATACAGAGTATACTGTTTGGAAATCCCACTTTAAACACCTCACTAAATCCAGCCTAGACATCACTCCCGCAAATAGATCAAGCAATATAACGACTCGGAATCATTGATAAATCTTACTTATAAGTTCCTAGTAACGAATTATAATTATAATTATAAATTACACCGAGGCAGAGTAAGTGTAGCTCACTTACAGAGTACTATAGATGAGAACCAGGAACTAAGCGGGCAGAATACTGACTCGGGATCTACTACTCGAAGGCTACTACTCAGATGAGTACTCAGGGGTGTCGCAAGGCTTCGTCGCAGGCTAAAAGCGAAGGGAAAGGGCTAAAAAGTTAAGATTGCTCGAGAGAGAATGTGTAGGGGGTGTGGAGGTGAAAGTATATATGAAGCAGAGTATTTATAGGCGAAAACAATATGCGCGTCACGCACCCCTAGGCTTGTGTGTCGTGCACTAGGCTAACGTGGCTCCATCCTGGAGTTGACACGTATCCTATAATGGGTGGGGTTGTGTGGCTGCTTCTAGAACCTCATTGCGCACCGTGCACGCACGGGCCGTTTTTCAGATTTTCAAAATTACGTAACTTCTTCATACGAACTCCGTTTTTTGACATTCTTTATATCCCCGGAAAGCTCTCGACGAGATCTATAATTTTCGTTTAGACTTTGTCGGCTAGTTTTGAATTTATTTTTTTTCACAGAGGCTTAGGCTGTTAAAACTTGTATAAAAAGCACAACTCTCTCATCCGGAGTCCCTTTTTGACAGACTTTTTATCTTTGAACTCCTATTAACGAGATCTTAAACTCTCGTTTATATTATTTTGGCTAAAAGTCGACTGATCTAAAATTCGATTTTTGAGCAGAATATTGATATGTCAATTCTTAGAAAAATCATAACTTCCTCTCACGAAGTCAGATTTAGACGTTCTTTATATGCACGCTCTCAGTTTAATGACTACTATGACTTTCGTTTAGATCTCTTAGGCTAAAAAGTAATTTATCAAAAATCTACTTTTTACGATACGCATAGCCGTGTCGGTTTAATCGCGAAACTTCGAAAAAGCATAACTTCTTCATATGAAGTCGGATTTGAACGCTCCTTAAATCTCCGAAATCCTTATGACATATACTACAACTAAGTTAAGATTATTTTTCCTAAGGAATCTTTTTATCTTCGACGCGTATTTTAAATTTTATTTATTTTATTATTAAATACACCTACTGTCCTATAGAACACGTAACCATATAAATATATGAATAGTCTTTTCTTATTCATTCATATAAAAATTACAATAGCTGACCAAAGTGATTACAAACCATGACCTAATCTAACAGGAAACGTTGGTGTTACATATGAACTTACAAGAAAATAGTTTGAATTTATCGTGTGCAAACATTTTGAAGATAAAGTGCATGTTAATATTTCAAAAAATGACTTCATGGCTTGGAATGAAAGTTTGAGAGCTCACAAAGAAATTACAAAGTTTGACATAATTTTTCTTATTTTCTCGATTAAAAGTTATTGTAAAGAGTTGGTGTGGTTGTCGTATATTTTATTCATATTATAACTTGAGGCAAATGAATTCGCAACAAATTTATTTAATTGCATATGTTATTTTGGAATTTATTTTAGATTATTTACGAATAGTAATTCTTATTCTAATTTATGTGTATTTATGATTTCAATTTTAAATTAATTAGTTACATTTCAAGAGTTTTTTAACTTATGGTTATTAATTGATAATAATTTTTTCGTTTCCTCTCATTTATACATATTATAGCAATATTAATAGTATATAAGTGAGTTTTCTTATAAAAATATTCATGTGTTTGAAAAGATATGCGATTCAAGTATGAAGAGTTGAAAAATTACCATTGTTATACCCAATATTATTACAATACAGATTTTTCTTAAGATAATAGTGTTTCTATATACCAAATGAATGTTGATTTTTATTATGTTATATATTTTTCTTTTGTGCTATTTGTAAGTGTTTAATGATTTTTTTTTAATATAAATATTAAACATGATATATATATATATATATATATATAT